GGGCAGCTGGCCGCTAGCACGTAGAGGGGGGGAAGGGGGCGCTACGATTAACAAATTGTTGACACACTATTTTGTCCCAGGGACTAAAGAGGAGTCACGGACCGACACTTAAGACACGGACTTTGAACTGGTACAGTCGGATGCTGACACCGACGTCATCTCAGAAGGCACAGTGAAGAGGAAGTCGGATGCCTCTTTATCCGTCGGGGACAGCCCCTAACTTCTAGCTTATCTAGACAAAGGTGGGAGCAGCAGCCGGAATGCGTTTCGCACTGTGGCCTCTGCTGTGTCGTCTGCTACGACTGTGCCTTAAAAGAAGTGAAAGTGTGCCCGGGCAACGGTGTTGCGTAAGCGCATGAAAGAGCGCGCCACCAGAGCCCGACAGGTACGTGAAAACTTTAAGAAGAACAATACCTTGTGGTGCATTAGGACGGGATCATGGTGGTTCCACTAGTTCTTTATGTGACTGGTACGTAACGGGGAAACCAAGAGGGAGGGGGGGGGAGGGGGCACTGGCAGCGTGCCTAAAGCAATATTATTTTTACAGGTAAAGACGTAAACCAACTGTTCGGAGGCAACGTCATCGAAAGCAGTTCCGGTGAACACACTGCAGCAGAGGTAGAGGTCGTCCGCTGCGTAAGGGAATGGGACTGCGCTGATGATATTGTGGCGCTATGATCAGACACCCCGATGGGGAACACGGGGTACAACATAAGAGCGGCAACTCGTATCTGGTTTATTTGGCATGTAGGCATCATATCTTTGAACTTATCCCCGGTTTTCTAGAATGCTCCCTCGTTATCACATTCCTTCCTTGAGATTTACAAATGAGTATACATACAAAGACTGCGTTCCGTTCCTAAAACACATCTCGATATCAGATAAGCGCACTGTGTATCCACCTATATGACTTTAACCTGAGGGCTGCTCTTCTTCGTCTGAACGTTGCTCCCGATTCTTGTACGTATAAACTCATTCGTTGGTAAGCCACTCAGTCTTTGCCTGAGCGTGTCTTCAGATGGATATCATGAGTGAGTAAATCTGGTACAGGATATCAGTGCTAATGTTTTGCCCACAATAACCTTAGCGACATAAAAACCATGAAGATAAGTCCCATCACATAGCATCTGGTGATAGTGTTTTGGTAAGGTGATCTTATAATAAATTGAATATGCTAACAAGAGAGTGGACACTGCTCACAAGCTGCGGTGCTCAAGGCCTGGATCTCTGCGGAAAGCCGCGCCTAACGGTTCCCAGCTGCTCTAGGGTGTTCATGGAGATACTACTCTATGGGGCATGGGCAATGGGCAGGGGCTATGTACAGGAAGTCGGGGAGCGATACCTGTTTTATGATTAGAAAATGACTTTTGTGAGCACCTCGACTGGTGGAACATTTCACTGTGAGATATTCTTGTAAAGGGAATTGGAAAATTTCCCATTATTTGTTGTAAAATTACAAATTTGAAATTGTAAAATACAAATACTGCGTATCCCCGGACCCGGAGCCCGGATGAAATGAGTTGTATATGAAATCATGTATGATCTTATCTGATCTGATATGATCGTATGATACGGTATCCTTCCTATAATTAGATATGATCAGATATGGCCATATGTAACTGCGTATATAACATGGTATATGCTTTTAAATGAGCATAAATGTGTTTTTAGCCCGCCCTTCTGCTTTAGGAAAGCCATCTAGCTGGCCTATGCAAACGACCTCGTGTCTGTGGGTCTGTCTGTTCCACTAGAAGGAGATGTGCTAGAGACTTCAAATTTTCAGGGTATCTTAAGGTTCACTCCTAGAAAACGAAACGCCCACGGCAAATCCTGGCAACCAACCCTAAGGTGCTAAAAAGGGGGTTTCTCAGAAAGTGAGGTGGATTAAAAAAGTCAGATTTTTTTTTCTTTTCTATGATCTTCTAAGGGGTAACTCGTCAAAGTAGAGCCCTCCGGGCGAAAATTCCGTCCGTTATCCTCACATCGTCTGCATCTTTAACGCTAGCACTCAACGCATAGTATGGCGTTGTCACTTACAAGGGAAGGTTTTCCGGTGATACAGTCAGATTTCAAAGGCGCTTTAAAGAGTAGTTGTTTGCACCTCTAGATTAGGATTGGCACTGGTTTTAGCTGCCCGTAGGGAGTTTGGGGGTCATTTCACAAGAATTTCATCAAAAATTTCCCAAATTCGTCGTTTTTTTGCCATCTTTGCATGCACATATCTCCGAAACCGTTTGAGCTACAGCGCCCAGATTTTGCAGGTAATTATCTTTCAATAAGTACTTCCCATGAAAAATATTTGAACCAAATCAATGGGGTTCACCAAAAGGGGCCTAGGGTCGCAACCCCCTCTCCGGACTCGTTTTTGCGACCCTAATCGATTTCGTTAAAATTTTCTACAAGCAAAGAACGTGCTAAATTATGATTTACCTAAAAATCTGGGCGCTGTAGCTCAAACGGTTCTTGAGATACGTGCATGTAAAGTTGATAATCAGGCTAAAAAGTTTGTCGAATTTTCAATTAAATTCGCGTAAAACGACCTTCAAACTCCCTACGGGCAGCTAAAACCAATGCAAAACCTAATTTAGGGATGAAAACAACAACACTTTGAAGCGCCATTGAAATCTGAGTGTATCATCGGAAAACCTTCCCTTGTTAGTAACAGCTCGCGGTGATGATATTCAACGGCCTGTCACCTCGGTGTGCGAGAAATTGAATTGAATGGCTCAATTTTACAAGTCTATTAAATTTTATGGACCATAAAAATGAAAATCTAAATAAAAAACAAAACCAATGAATGTGATTCATATTTGTTGCACGACTTTAGTTAGGCTATGCCACCATAAAATAAGCCCACTCTTCTGCCTAAAAGAAAGTTTTGAACCGACGGCATACTTCTCAGACAAAAGTGTACTCCTAAATAGAATAAAAATATTTCTGTTTCGGCCATTTTGGTAAGAAAAACTCCCTCTTTTGTAAGTAAACAGTGAAAGCCAGACGGACGACATTTTAGACCAGAGGGTTCTTCTTGATTTACCCCTTTGGAGACCATTAAATATTTCCTTAAAAGAATTTTTTTTTTTTGGGCCACTTTTGTGAGAGAAACTCCCCCTAGTGCCTCAACGGTGAGAGATACTTCTTGGACCAATTTCTACTTCTTTGTTACCCCCTCATACCCACTCAGGGGTAGTTGCCAGCATTTGCACCAACCGTTTCGTTGTCCAGAAGTGACAACAATAATACCCTGAAAATTTCAAACCACTAGCTCACGGCTAACGTCCTTCTTGGGAAACGGACAGACAGACACATGGGCGATGGCATAAGCCCACTTATATAGCTTTTAAGAAAAAGAGCGGGCTAAAAATTTGTAAAATCTTTCCTAATTTTGTTTACAGTGCTGCCTACTCATGTTTTATTTATCCGTTAGCACGAAGTCGTGACTCACTTTGATGCCGAGCTGCATGAAAAACTACCAAGTAACTATGTAGAAATATAGCAACAACGGCGTAGGCGACAGGTGAGAGGCAGGGAGGGATGACGCCCCACTTTGGAGAAACGCAGTTATAGAGACGGTGTCAATTCGTAGAAAGGCGTTGCATTACAACAGCACTGCACGAGTACTTATAGAGTGCTCTTTTCCCCCTGATACCTGCTGTCTCACTGCGTTCTGTCTGGCTTCAACATGGCAGGTACTGTTACGACGACTAAATCGAGAGGTCCCACTCTAAAATATAAATAGAACATAAGGATACAAGTTGCAAAGATCAGAGTACTTTCTCCTATCCCCCAAATAACACGCAGCCACTCTGCCAAACGTCGCAAAGTGGTGAGGATTCAGAAAGATATGGTCGAAACCGTATAACCCGTTACTTACGTATCCATGAACTTAGGCTTCAGGGCGGGTCTGCGATCTTTAATGATTTTGTACTTGGACATGTGGAAAGAATGCAACGCGTTTTGGCACCGTGACTACACCCTACCTATCTGCTTTGACAAAGAATATGACGTTAAAAATAGAGGTTTTGAATTTGTATTGTTTCTGAAAGTGAAAAATTTGGGCTTGAGAGCTTGATAGTATTGCATTTCTTCTTCATCTTCTATTCCTGGTTTAGTCAGAAATTTACCATTTAATATATTACTTGTCCAACGCCCAATGCGGGACTCAGCAGGAATCGGTTTAGTTCCCGAATACGTTCTCTGCTAGGTTTAGGCGCGCACCGCGCAGGCTATCGTAAACGAATATCGTGGTTGTGTTTCAGGCATGAGCTTCGGAATATATGTTCCCTAAAAAATGGGAAGTCGATAGATGGTTCTTCCGAAAGGGACTAGACTTTGAACGGCTTTCCTTATCAAAAGGCTGCGCAAATAAGGCATTGAAATTTCCACTCGTTAAGGCTACTCGGATGCTTGGAGGCTAGAACTTTGCGCGTTTACACTTCCTAAACCAAGTGTAGCAGGCATATGATCAAGGTAGCTGTACGACAGACCACGTCTCGCGTAACAGGCTTCTCGATATCGTACGAAACACTGCTACACTGTGACGCGCCTGTCACTTTTTCATCAAATTTAGTTATTTTTTATCACATTTTATCGTTTTTGAACACATTTACTCATTTTTCGTCACTTCCGTCAACTTTTACCAGTCCCGTCATTTTTCGGGATTTCCAACATTTTTCGGTCAACTTTTGTCATTCCGTCAATTTTATCCCGCCCTTCTGCTTTTTAACAAGCTACGCCCGCTCTTCCGCCAAATCTAGTTGCCAGCTCCACTTCGCTCTACCGGCAAGTCGGTTCGGCAGGGAGCGGGCCTAGCTTAGCCTGCCGGCGGCGTTTGGGACGGGACGGGCCTTCAACACTATTTCACTGCTATTTCGGTAATTGATTTATTAATGATCTCCTAAGGGGCAACTTGAGAAAGTAGAGCCTTTTGGACGAACATTTCGTCCGTTTTGCTCTATCTCTAACCGTTTAGGCGCTATAGGGTCTTTTTTGACAAAAATAGGGTGTTCCAGGCTATCTAAAACGGAAGTGAAAAAGAACAAACTCACCGATTAATCTATTTCCGTCTGCTCAGTATGAGAAATTGCCATGGTAGGTTCGTGCGATTCTACCCTCTCAAATATGGAGGCGAGCTCGAAACTGACCTGACAGTTTTTCATACCTGAAACGCAGTCGTGACACGTTATCAGCTCAACCAATCACAGCCATCACGGAAACAGAAAAGTCATTGAGTTTGTTCTTTTCCTACTTCCGTTTCGGATAGCCTGGAATACCCTATTGCTAAAAATTGCCATAGTGAAAAATAAGTTGTAGAAAAAGGCCTAAAAAGTGCAAAATAGAAAGGAAACTCTTCCCCCACCCCCAAAAACCGTTTTCTAAGCAGAAGGGTGGGTTGTAGTCACGGTGCTTCACCGTTACATCCCTTTCTGGAGTCTTTGGGGCAAACTCAAAGACGACGGGTTTAAGCGGGCCGAAGGCCCGCTACATCATTCGGTCATGTTTTTCAGCAAATCGCTTGACAGAAATGGTCGGGCCGCAGGCCCAACCATCGCCGCCGGCAGGCCAAGCAGGCCCGGCCCCTGCCGAACAGAGTTGCCGGCGGAGCGAAGCGGAGCTGGCAACTTCGTTTGGCGGAAGGGCGGGCCTGCTTGTTTTTACATCGTTCTAAGACGTAACTCGTCAAAGTAGGAGCCCGTAGGGCCAACATTTTGTTTGGCTCTATCTCCAACCGTTTAGTCGCCAGAGGGCGATATCCACACGAAAATGACCCCAAACCATTTTAATGTTGTTTCTCAGATATTTGACAGTCTCTGGTGGGGCAACTCGTCAAAAAAAATCCTGGAGGTAAAATTTGTGTCTTTTAGAGCCAAAGGCCTATCTACGACTCTATCTTTTGTCCGACTCGGGTGTCAGCGCCGCAGGCCTAGGTAGATGTATGCCAGGCGCGTCGCAGCGTAACAGTGTTTCGTGAGATATCGCGAAGCCTGTTACG